AAAACCATCTCCGAGTGAGCAAGCCACCACCTCCCCACCCGTGCTGTGAGGCAGCAGCGAGTGCTCACTCGGAGACCATCTCCACGCGCGTACAGGAGGTAGGTGGTGGAGGCTTGCTCGCTCAGAGACCATCTCCAAGCGAGTAAGTCACCACCTCCCTGCCTGCGCAGCAAGAGGAACAGTAGCGCAGGACAGATGAAAGGCCATGACGGGCTGGATTCGTCCCGCAGGCCATAGTTTGAGGACCCATGAGCTACATGATAAAACACAGAAAATGAATATAAACTGGAGACAAAAAAGAAAGGTCAAGCCTTGGTGATGGGGGAAATGCTGGAGTGAATAAGCATGAACCAGCAGCCTTAAACCCACCCTTAAGCCCAAATTTTTACAAGTGTTTCACTAGTACTATCACAATTAGGATACGTCCAAATTGCTCAACCAATTCAGGGGGTAAAGGAACTCTTCGAATTGAACTTATTTCTGGAAGACTGGGAATCAAAAGAAGACCAGGCCCCTGTAAGGGATAATCCATATCTGACATTCCAGAAACTGAGGGGCTATCTGTAATTGTGAAAAAGGTTAAATAATTAAAAGTAATGAAAACAAATAAGCAAAATGCATAAATACTTCAATTAAATCTGTAATCCAAATAAATTTATTGTCTCTTCATATACAATTAGCAAATGTTTTTCTGTGCAAATCTACAAACCAGTGAATGCATGCACATATTTAGATTTAAATCAATTAAATAAGCCTCAAAAGATAACCATCAATATATTCTAGAAACTGTTACTGCACTTTCAAGTGTGGTGATTTCTGCACCACTGTCTGGATCCACCACTCCAATAAGGATCAGAATAAGCATAATACCAAGTCTTCAAGTCTCATTACAGAAAGATGGTCCAAAAGGATACTATGGTCAATGCACTGAAAGATCCACTGGGAGGTTCAGAAAAAGTAACAGGCTCGTATTGCTATTGCCCATTCCCTAGCAGAGAACATCCATTGAGGCAATCAAGGTGTTTTCTATCCCAAACTAGGTCAAAAACCAGATTAGAATGAATCCAAATAATCATTGCTATCCAAAACTTCTGGAGTTGAGAAGAGTGCCCACTCCAATACCTTGTTCAAAAATGCCAAATTTGATATTAGAAAACTCTGATTCACATGTAACATGGTACTATTTTCATCAATGTATCTAACAATGCAATTAAGAGGTCCCCATTACCCCTTTTCTGGAAGGAAAAGAAATAAGACTCCAATAAAGCCAATAAGAACAGACAGTTTGGAATTATGTACACTATTTCCCATCATATACCTTTGTTTCAAACATGTACCTTATGACATGAACTATTAACCCCAGAAATGGGAATTGGAGGAGGAGCATTTCCTAAATGATCCAATACTTGCTCATAAAATTGTAAGGTGTCTATGTAATTAACCTATTATGCCTTATGACCCAAGTATTTTGACAGGACATTCTTGGACTATCCAAGACACTACCCCTGACTTGTTTATGTCTATGTCTGAACTCAGAATTCTCCCTTGTTTCTCCTTCGTAAAGTCAATTGCAACTCATTCATTGTTGGATTCCAATTCTAGCTTGCTGGGAGAAAAGCCAGAGTTCTGGCTTTGTGATATAACACCAAGATTGAGTGTAAACCAATCCAGATTGTTAAAGTTCAAACTAGGCTTCTTCAGTACAAGCCAAACTATTGCCTCTTTCATGGAAGAAAGAACTCCCCCTATTACAGAGGCATCCACATGGCTGTTTGTTGACATTTTGTCTGGGTGCCACTGCTGAGTAGGAATTTCACCTAGGTGAATAAAAGAGTTACTAACAAGCAGATGCAACATTCAGCCCCACTTTCCTGTCCTGTATAGAAGCCAAGCAGGTTGCTGGGAGAAGGGTGCTTGGCTGTTATGGTAGCCCACAGTGTTGTTAGACTAGGCAGGGAGGAAAATAATCCACTCTTCCCCACCCAGTGTAGAAATTGATCCCTCCTCCAGCAGCCTACTATGTTTCCATACAAGATGTGCAGGAAGCTGTATGTCTAATATACTATGTGTCTAACATAGAAACACAGCAGGCTGGCAGGAGGAGGGATCCATGTTTCTATGTTGGATGTGCAGGATATGTGGTTTCTAACCTGCAAAACTGAGACTGGCAAAAGAAGGACAGGGTGCTTCATTCATCTTTGGGGGAGGGAGGATAAGGAATCCTGTGGCCTCCCTACATCATCTGGGAGGTCATAGGATTACTTGGAGTCTTCCAAGATCCTGTAATCTTGGATCTGAGGCTCTTATGTCCCAGCTGACCCTCCTTGCAGTCAATACAAAAAGAACCCACACAGGCTACTTGTCATCAAGTCAGAACTGTGCTAGGCGGAGAGGTTAGGAGGCTGCGGCCACAGACTTTTCCCAGCCTTTCCTGCTCCCCAGCACTAACTCTAGATGGACAAAAATGGCTCTCTAGAGAAAATACCCTGTGCAAGGCATGATACACATAAAACTCCACATTCAGGGGCTTACATGCATCAGGGACACAGAACACACATTTGTTCCCTTAGTAACTTTGGGTTAGCTAATTTATGAACCAACATTAGCATGCTTTTGCTGCAGATGCTTCTTTTCAGGCAAGCATATCCTGACTGATGAGTAAATTTCACCCACTGCATTACTGAACTATTTCCTTTTACTGTTGCATTTTACATTTTTAAGTTTTCACACAAAACTATACAATCCCTCCGGGTGGGTCACTGGCTAATAACAACAAATTAAGTCTCTGTAGTCCCAAGTGAGCCTGGCAGATCTCAAAAACCAGGAAGGGCAAGGATCCAAGAAACAGGTTGAACTAAAAGAGGGCTGTTCTCTGTAGCCGCTAACCACTGAAGCCCACTGCCATGGCATGGGGCTAACCATCTCTTACAACAACACGGCAATACATTTATACGGCGCGTGGAAGGAGAGCCGGAATACAGAAAGTGAAGTGCCCAGGGCTGAGAGGGGTGAGGCGAGCGGGGAAGGAGACAGACCCACTGCACGAAAAGGCAAGGGAGACCCCTCAGCGGGGCTTGGCTTACTGGGCGCCGGGACGGAAAGCAACTCGGAGAGGTCCGGGTAGCAGCGGTCATCTTGGATCTGCCGGTCGATGATGCGCCCCGCGTTCTCCAGTGCCTCCTGCAGGCCGGGGACGGCCGCCGGGTTGAGGGCGACCGGCATGGCGAACGTGACGGGTATGCAAAGGACCCCCAGCAGGGCCGAAGCGAGACACGAAGAAGGCTCTCTCGCGCGCGCCAAATCCCGGCAGCCACCGCGTGTGCCCGACGCAATGCCTGACCATAGAAAGGCAAGGGCTAGAGGTGCCGTCACAGCCCTACGTCTGGGACGATGAGAAGAGCGCCACGGCGCTGAAAAGGTAGTGAGAGCCGCGCGTGTTGGGCCAGGCTGAAAAGTCAGCCTCTTCCAGGGGCAGACCTCCTCGTGCTCTCTGCAGATATTTTGGACTACAGCTTGCACAAACCCTGTTGGGATGATGGGAGTTGTAGAAGGCGTACAGGTTTTCTATGCCCTCAGCTTGCTTCTCATGCTGGCCAGTCAGATACGCCTGAAAAACTCACAAGCGGGGACTGAATGAATGGGATGGGTAACTTGTGGCGCTCCTTCTGAGTGAAATGCAAATCCCATCAGCCCAAGTCAGCAGTCAAAAACGAGTGAAGCTGGAAACTGCAGTGCAAATGCAATTTAAAGGAGGCAATTTAAACCCTATATATCTTGATACAGTCACTTGTAGTATTACTGAGGGTGCCTGAAACTTCAGAGAAAAAAGAAAAAAAAATCATTCAGTAGTGTATGCATCGGATTTGGAACTTGCAGCCCATTCCTAGAACATATATTTTTTCAGACGTCTCATGGAATTGAGTGTAAGTCTTATGGAACCCAATAGGAGCTACTTTTGAATAGTAGTGCACAATCGATTTGCACTGTTAAGATCCAATGCTATGCATGTTTAGGCAAACAAAACATAACTCCGAAAACAAAACAACTCCGAATTTTCCCAGTCTGCAAGAAAATTAATCAAGGAACTCAAACGAGCAACTTGGTGCATATGTGAGCAGGTGAGGGCATGGGTTGTCGCTGTCGTTAAGTCTTGTCCAACTATTTGTGAGCCCATGGACCAAAGTACCCCAAGTTCACCCCCCCCCCCGTCCTCCATTTCCTCCCAGAGTCTGCTCAAATTCATGTTCATTTCTTCGATGACACTATCCGGCCATCTCATCCTCTTGCCACCCCCTTCTCCTTTTGCCTTCAATCCTTCCCAGCATCAGGGCCTTCTCCAATGTGTCCTCTCTTCTCATTAGGTGGCCAAATTATTTGAGCTTTAGCTTCAGCCTCTGTCCTTCCAATGAGCAGTCAGGGTTGATTGGTTTAATCTCCTTGCACTCCACGGGACTCTCAAGAGTCTTGTCCAACACCAGGCAGGGCCGTCTTAACACATGGGCCTGATGGACACTTGCCCGTGGGCCCCATACTAATCCGTGTATGTTAACCCTTGGAAAATTGGAAAACTTCCAAAATTAACAGTAGTTGTAGTTGTCGTAGGAGCCCCAGTACACTGCTTTCCCCGTGGCCCATAATGCTGTTAAGACGGCCCTGACACCAGGCATGGGTCTTAGCTTCAGTTAATTTTTCTAAACCTCCAAAGATTTAGCAAAGTTTCTCGTCTGCTAGCGCACATAGAAAAAAGAACGGTGGGAGTGGCGGGACGTTTCCCCCTTGCCTTAAACACGCGTCATATTGCGCCCTAACAGGAGAATCCCGTATCAGCTCCCATGGAAAGAAGCGAATCACGTAGGCTCCCGTTGCTGGGGATCGAGAAGCCGAGCCCCGCCAGGTTTGCAGGCGCGGTGCTCATACCCTCCGGCCACGGGAGGTCTCCCTACGGTGGACGGCGGGGCGAAGAGGCTTCCTCTCGCTCAGCCGCCGCATCCTCAGCGACTTCCTCCTGTCGGGAGGCCGGTGCTGTTGTCGCTGGTGTGGTTCTTGGGAAGCGCTCACTTGGGCTAGAGCAGCCGGGCATGGAGGGCGGTGAGTGGGCAGCAGCGCTCGGGGAGGGCCTCCTTGGGAGGGCTGCTTGTTTGCAAGAAGCGCGGCGCTCAACTTTCCATTTCTCCTCGCAGATGCCGAAGCGGTGGCGGGACCCGACCCGGAACTGGCCGCCACGATGGGCTTCTCAGGCTTTGGTGAGTTGGGCGAGAAGCGGAGGGGCCGCAGCCTGGGCTGGAGAGGCTGGAGAGTGGGCGAGGAGAGTGCTGGGCGGTCGGTGCGGGGCAACAGGCTCGGCTGGCGTGCCCCCCTGGTGCCTCCATACACGCAAAATCTCATGCGTGTTCAGGCAGCAAAGGTCCTTCACGGGGTTGGAAACAATTTTCTCGGCTGGCTGGGGAATGCTGGGAGTTGTGGGAACTGGTTCATGCCACTTGGGGGAGTGCTGGGGGTTATGGGACTTTTAGTGTACTTTTAGAACTGAGCAGGGCTGACAAGGACTGAACGTTTTGGAGAGCATTCATGGGGTTGCCATAAGTCAGAGATGGCATGACAGTATATGAGAATTGCAGCAAAGTTGGCACTTTTTCCTTTCTAAAACATGTATAGGATTGTGCTCTGGGTCATTTAAACCCTTCCTGAGAACCTCCCTCCAATGACTGTGTGTGATATATTAAAAAAGTTAATATGTCTCTTCTCTCTTCCATCCCCCATTCCATGCTTTAGAACTGCTTGTGCAATATGCTACCACCACAACAGCAATGCTCTTGGCATGTGCAGTTTTGCATTTTAAACTAGATTAAATTCTGGCACTGGTGGAATTACAGGAATCAAAGTGTGTTTACTTCTGCAGCTCTTATACTTCATGTGGGCTGTTGGGATCCTGGACTTGGGCTCAGTGCCTTTGCCACAGCATTTTCATGTGTATGAATCTGAGTTTACATTTCCACTCATAAGTATGCATGTTGGAGATTTAAATAAAAATGAATCTCTGATCCTGCTCTTTAGCTTATCTGTGGTTTTCCCCACAGCTTTTGTCTGCATGCTTGCTTTTGTTCCTCATCACTGTTCTTTGTAAAGTGACAAAACATTCAGAGAGTACAGTTAATTGAGGGGCAATAATAGTAAAATGGTAGCTTTATAATTCATGGTCTGCAACCACAATACACAAGCAAAATCTATTTATGTGTTCTTTCAATTCAATTTACCTGCCTTATGCTGGAGAAAATGAAGTTCAGAAGTGAATTGCATGGTGGGCTGAGTTATCTTTATGGACATTCTCAGATCTGAGGATGCTTGATAAATACCTGTTTTTAACTGTTTTGAGAGCTTGTGGTTTGCTTGTTTCAGGGTGGATTGATTTAAACCCAAGTGATTTAAATAATTAAGAGAAAAAGTCAATTTAATTCACTGAACTTAAATCAAGTTCCTGCTGAAACCTCTTCATGCATTTCCTAAATAGTGGTGCAAATATGACTGCTAAAAATGTGAATGCTAAGGTGTGTTGATTTAAAAATACAGTATGGCTTACTTTGCCTTATTCTCATAAACAGACTTTGTCTTTTTTGCTGTGTATCTTCTACAGGTTTACCTTTAACTTGGAATGCCTTTAAATATTCTAATATATGATTTCCAGAATCCTTGCCAGCTTTAGGTTTATAGCACAATCCTAGAAATGTTGCTCAGAAATTGGTTTCACTGAGCAGGATTCACTCCCAAGTATGTGGGTAGGGGATTCCAGCATTTTCTCTCTTTTTATTTCCAGTGCTGCTTATTTCTGCTTCTCTTGTGAGTTTTGCCCTCACCAGAAATGAAATATCAAGCAAAACCAACATGCTCATAATGGATAGTCAAAAGAAATGTACTGGGTTTTTTAAAAAAATCCATCTTTTGGTTTATGTTAAGCACCTGCCTTTATCCACTTTAGTATATTGCCTTTCTCTTAACTAACTCCTCTGCCACGCTTGGCTCGACTTTACTAAACACATAATCACAGAACACAAATCCTATCTTCTTTGCAGATATGACTTTAGTTGGAGAAAAGGAAAGCCCAGAACTTTCAAAAGCAAAAGCTTGTTAGCTAGAAAGAAGCATTTTCATGAGATGACAAACTGAAATTAATGCCCATGTTTGATTGGGAGGTAACTTCATTTTTATGGGGCTGCAAGTGTAAGGTTACCATGTATAGGATGAGATTTAATACTATTTCAATTAAGAGAAAAATAGTATTTTTATTTTTAAATCAAAGTGTTAATTTAAAATTTTAAAGATCCAGTTTTAAGTTTAAAAGAACAATCATTTTTTATCCATACAGACTGATTTTAGAGTTTCCTCCAGGTATTTGTTTCAGCTCTGAATCATTGCCAGAAAAACAGCTAGCTCTTTAAGAACAGAAACTGGCAACCTGTGGGTTACTACCTTGATGTTTGAGATTCCTGAGGTTTCAAAAACTTGATACAGTGGTACCTTGGCTCACGAACTTAATCCGTTTCAGGACTCTGGTCGTGACCCAAATTGGTCATGACCCAAGTTGAATTTCCCCATAAGGTTCAATGTAAATAAGGTTAACCTGTTCTGTAACCATTTTTTTTAATCACAAAAATTGGAAACGAAGTGACAAAGAACAACAAAGTAACAAAGAACAACAAAGTGCTGTACAGCACCGCAGAGAACACTAACCTAGATGGGGGGAGGTTATTGTTTGGAGGGAGAGTCCAAACGATAATCGTGCAATAGTGATCGTGCTTAGGAGGGGGAGATAGGCATGATTGCGATCGTGCTCGTACAGGGACGATGGGTGTGATCATGGCCCTCACCCCCCCCCCCCCCGAGCATGACTGTGATTGTGCCTGTCTTCCCTGCACGGGTGCGACCTTGATCGCTGCCATCTCTCCACCCCCCTGAGCAGGGAAGATGGGTGTGATCATGTTTGTCACACGATGTGGAGTTCACGACCTGAGGCAAAATTTTGCCAAAATTTCTGTTTGTGACCCAATTTGGTTGTGAAATGAGGTGTCCGTGAGCCGAGGTACCACTGTAGTTTCCGGCTTTGTTCAAGGTTTCCAGCCTTACATATTTTATCAGTACAGAATTGTGACTTTAAGAAGAGTAAGATTTTGGAAGAACATTTACATGCATTCCCAATTTGTGGACATTTCCATTTTACTGTTGAAAACAGAGTGCTGGGTTAGATGATCCTTTGATTTCACCCGGCAGGACTGCTTTTATGTTCTTAAGGCTACAGTCCTATGCAGGCTTAATCTGGGAGTAAGTCCCATTGTCCTCAGGAAACTTATTTCTGAGTAGACATATATGGGATTACACTCTAAGGATCCATTATTGCAGATTCTTTTTATCATGGCAGGGTATCCAGTTTCCACTGGCTGTTTGTATTTTGATAAATCTGTTGGGGATTTTTAAAAATGCAATCTGACCTCTTGGGAAACCATTCTTATCAACTAGGAAAGAAAGCACGGACATTTGACTTCAATGCAATGTTTGAACAAACTCGAAGAACTGCTGTGGAAAGAAGTAGGAAGATTCTGGGTGAGCAGACCTATTTCATAGAATGTTATTATTCATTAAAATATTTCTAACATATTCTGATTTCAGGGTGGATACAATAATAACAAACAATGTCAACATGTAACTTATGTATTGCAAAAATCAATAGCCTGGGTCCAAAAACAAACCTTAACACCTGGAGTCATGCTTCAGCTTGTTTAAAAAGAACATAGAATTGCCAATGCTAGTATTGAACTATGTTTTTAGAATAACCAATGAATCTGCCCATAACCCACCAAACCTGGAGAGTTATGGACATTCTGTGCAGGGCAGGAGGTGGTGATCTTTGCCCTCACCCTTTTCCCACCCTGAAAATCAGCTAGATGTCTGGTATAGGCCATCTAACTGAGGTGCTTCAGATGGAGAGAGAAGGAGGCTGGAGCACTGCTAGGATACATCATATCTTGGTAGACCTGGTCTTCTCTTCCCAACCCCCACAGAATGCCAACTAAACTACTTCTCCAAAGTTGTAAAATCAACTTTGGAGATGAAAATGACACAGTTATTTTCATGTTCATGGTAGGTGAGTGGATGAAGCATGAATCCCTAGTTCTGAGGTAGGAGCTTTTTTCCAGCCTTGGAACAGGGAATGCAAACTAACCTGTGTCCCTCTAGATCCTGTCTAGAGGGGCACAGGATCATAGTGTCCTGGTCTTTCTCCTATATTTCACCTTTCCAGGGAATTGAGTTTGTCAGCAATGTTTATTTATTTGATCTACATTGTGTGCTGTCATGTGGACTCAGAATGGCTTAGAGTAGTTTGTCCTAATTGTTACCAATCTAGTGTCCTCTTTTTTCACCTGAAACATTTAATGGCCTTAGTTTGTCTGAGGCATTCTGGAATTTTAGGGGTTTTTTCCTGTCTTAAATATACAGAGGATGGCACCAAAACATACTCCTGACACATACTTTTTTGTGAAACTTATCTGTCAAGGAAGTAACAAATATACCTGTGATTTTGAATTTCAATATTAAGTGTTTTTTGAAAACTATTTACTTAAAGTGTAATCTTACACATGTTTATAGGAAAAAGACCTGTTCAAAGGTGTTTTTTCCTGCCTAAACCTGTATAAGATTACATTCTTAATCATCATTCCAGACATATTAAAATAGAAAATTTCAAAGCAAATACAGGTATCTGTCTCACACTGAACGTATTTCTGTTATACTTATTTAGAAGAACGTGAAAAAGAAGCAGCTGAGAAAGAACTTGGATGCCAGCATGAAGCTGCAGCAGCTACAGACTCACATCCCATGGCAAGAACCTCTTCTCGGTATAGTTAGAAATACCATCCTACATAGTGGGCTTCTAGTTCTGTGCCTTTTGGTAGTATGACATTTGTGCATGATAGTGTTGCATTATAAACCACATTATTTACAACTGCTGTTTAGAGTTAGCTGCTGTAGTTTTAAAGAAGGTGGGGTTGGTTTGCTAGGGTTACTGTGTTCAGGATGCTGTTCCTATTGGCAGTGATAGGAAAACCCCTGATCTTATGCATACACACTAGGAAGTGAATTCTATTAAAAACACTGAGAATTTCTTCTGAGTACACCTGATTAGAATTGGGGTGCAAGGCTTTTGGATAAAGTGGCTGTCTGTATATCGAACTTGTATCTTGCCTTTCCACAAGAAGCTTCCCAAGAGCTTAGGGCTTTTTTTGTTTTGAAAGGCAGGGTTCATCAATGGTAACCTGTTAGAGGCTGCATGAGTGATGGGCAGAGAGGCACCTTCTTTCTCACTCTGTCTGGGTCCAAACAACATGACATCCCATACTTGAGTAAGGGTTGGATATGGGTTGTCATTAACCTATGGGTTGTTGTTGGATGGTGGAGTATTATGCTGCATGAACCCAGCTGCACTAACAAATAGGGTTTGTTCTCTATGACCAATCCATAAAGTCAACACCGGTTGTTGTTGGGTTATGAACTGTGGGTTGTTTGTGTTTCACAAACTGTTATTTGTAGTGACTTTATACAAGACAACAACCCACAGTTCAACAAAAGCCCATACTCAGCCATATGCAACCTTGAGCATGGGTTGTCATGTTGAGTGAACACAATCACACACACAGACCTGGACTTTCTGAAAATCTGGCATCTGTTACTTTGTAATATTGTGGGTGTTTCCCTATCCCAGCAGCTTTTCTGCTCATTCTCTTCCTCTGTCTGGGGAAGGTGAAAAAGAAGAGCAGCCCTTTCTACACACTAATTTCTCTGCCCTCTGTCCTGGGAAGTTTCTGGGAACCTCTCCATATGTCCTCCGAAGCCTGGAGATGGGCCTATTCTCCCCTTGTAATAAAAAAGTTCTGGGCATAAAACGTGGAAGCTGGGGAGAAGCACTTGCCCATCATTGCTTAACAGATGAGCCCCCCTACAACCATTATGACCACCTTCCTGTCACTGGCAGGATTGATTGGGAGGGGATAATCACTGTTCCACCCCGCCTCCCTTAATGCCCTTACAAAGTCATGTTCCTTACGAACTGTACCCACTTTGCTAACCAACTAGCATGCAGTCACTTTTCCTCCCTTGCACATGGTGCTCTCCATTCCGCAGGTTGCAGTATCACCTGGTTAGATATGCTGGAGGAAAAAGGGTGGATGAGGGATTTCAATAATGATCACATCAGCTGTGCAGGAGGGTGTCCTGAGTAATATGGACAGGCTGTTTCTCTTGCCATTCCTTCACCTAGAGATTCAGATAGCAGTGAAAGTAAGGAGAGTTCAGATGAAGAGCTGATTGGACCCCCGCTGCCTCACCAAGGATCTGCAGAGGATTCTGATAATGAACTCATCGGGCCTCCACTTCCTCCAGGGTACAAGGGCAGTGAAGAAGAGGAAGATGAGGATGATGAGGATGAGAACATTCAGGAAGAAGAGGAGGTATGTTTTAAATCCCTCAATGAGCTTGTTTGTCCATAGCTATAAGCCAGGTTATTGCCCCTTATTGCAAACAAGCGGATTGCTTGTACAGACATCCCATTTGCTACCCCCTACATGGAGGCAGGTAGGTTGGTCGGTGGGTAACAGGTAAAACAAGCAATCAGCAAATAACACAGTTTCACATTTTCTCAATAATGTTAAACTCCTTGAAATAAAACCAGCCATAGGCACCATAAACATCAGTCTTGATATCTTTTCCCTTGATAAGCATGATGTGGCTTCATTCACTTGATACACCCAAGTGGGATTCAGGCAACCTGGGTTCTGATTCCCACTCAGTCATGGAGCTCACTGGGTGACTTTGGGCCAGTCACAGACTCAGCCTACCCTACCTCACAGGGTTGTTGCTGTGGGGATAAGATTGAGAGCAGGAGGAGAAAGCTGTAAGCCACTTAGAGTTCATTGGTAAAAAAGATATAAATCTAAATAAATGAATAAATAGAGGCACTTCTTTATTTGGTCAGAATTCTTCCTTGGACTAAGTATTGTAGCTTGTGTAGAAAGTGTTGTTAGAAGTGATTCCAGCTAAAATGTATCTTGTGTCTATTATTGTTAACATATGTGCAAACTACTTTGTAGGACCAGAATCTAGAGCTGACCTCACAATACGTAAAATGGTAGTGGGTCTAGGAATGAGTTGATACAAAGCAGCATGCTGTTGAGTTTGGGAGAAAAAATCATCAAGGGCTGTAGCAGATTGCAGAGGTTCTTGAATGGGAGCCCATTGTGACAGTTACTTTGGTCTCTAATTCACTTTATTCCCAAATAAATGCTTTAGATGGATGCCTGGTTAGACTATAGTATTGTTACAGTTTCTTAGAACAGTTGTTTGATAAGAAGCAAATGCTTGCTTCTCTTAGGAATGCTGATTTTAATTCAAGGGTTAGAAACACTCATGCTGATTATTAATGATTAGGTTATGGTTATGTTTTATTTTTTAAAATTACACTTACATCCTGTGTTTTTCCTCTTGTAAGGAACCCAGGGTGGCTTATGAAATCTTCCTTTATCATTTACCTGTACAAGATTATGCTAGATAGGTTAGACTGGGATTCAGTGTCAGTCCTAATGTTGTGAGCCGCCCTGAGGCTTCGGCGAATGGGGCAGCATAGAAATGTTTTAATAAATAAATAAGTCTCCAAGTGAGCTTTATGCCCTGAGTCCCAGTCCAAAGCTGACTGCTGCACCACTCTAATGCTAATATTTTTTGCTTATTATCTTCAGCACTTCCTTATCAGCAAATACTTTTAGAGGGGACAAGTAGGTTTCCTTTTGTTCAGCTAGATCCTGGTTCCACATCACACCAATAAGTTATACTGTGAATGAGTGGTATACATCCAGATTCACTTGTTTTTTTCATGTGCACAAGCTAGCAATCTGGGATGTATCATTTAAGCAAGCTTTCCATGACGTACAAATCAAAAACTACATTAAGTGCGTACAAAAAAATCAGGATTTGTAAGCCAACGTGTATTGGCACAAGCCTCTCTCTTGCAGAAGGTCCAGTTCTCCCAGTTCCAATTATTTCCTAATGTAACCCCATGTAGAGCACATTGCAGGGATCTATTTTAGAGATTATCAGTGTGTAGAAGCCCAGATATCCCTGTCCAAATCTGGGGGAAGGCATTCCATGCCACTGAGGTCACCCGAGGCTCAAGAGATGGGTCGAGGAACACCCCCAAGTTATGAACCTGCTTTTTCAAAGGGAGTGTAATGCCATTCAGAAAAGGCTGAGCACTGTCCATCTGGTCAGAGGAGACATCCGCCAACTGCATTTCAGTCTTGCCTGAATTGTGCTTCATTTTGTGCATCCAATCTATTTTTGTAGCCAGCCATCATTTTAGCACATCTATAGCTTCACCTGTTAAAGATGTTGTAAGCCGCCCTGAGGCCTCGGCAAGGGGCGGCATAGAAATGTTTTAATAAATAAAATAAATAAATAAAGATGAGAAAGATAAAAAGGACAGAGAGAGAGAGAGAGAGAGAGAGAGCGCTTTGTGTCACCAGAATATTGATGGCAATGCACTCCAAAACTGAAGATGACTTCACTCAGTGATTTTATGTATTTGTTGATTCGCATGGAGGACAAGACCAGCTCCATGCTAGAGAGTTCAAGGGACCAAGGAATTTTCCCCAAGTGCAAACTTATTCCTTCATACGCATGGGTCTCATTCAGGACTGGAAGGGTGTGGCAGATCCTTCCCACCAAATGAAGGTTCAGATGAGATATGTCCAAAATATGGTAGTCTCTAAGGGTTGGAGAGCAAGGATTCAGCTGGATACAAGTCTGTCAGTGGCAATATTTACATGTCACGGAATTCATTTAATCCTGGTTACTTCTGAAAGACGCAGAGGGACTTGTCTTGCTTACAGAATAATAGACTTTACAGAGACTTGTTGTTTGGGATCCTATTAAAAGTGCTGCTGAGTGATTTAGCCTGCTTATATCTGCATAGACTTAAAATGGATAAAACCTGGACTTGATCACATTCATTTTGACCTTGGCTGCATACACAGCCAGAAAATGGCACCTGAGATTTGTAATTCTGCTCATGGACTGAAAAAGGTTCCTCACCCCTACTTGAAGGGGTGTAAGGTTGAGATGGCACTCTTCCCTCTTTCTCTGACCATCTGTGTGGAAGGATGCAAAAATCTGTGAGAGCTTGCATTGGGGATTGTAACTGGAAGATGTCCTTGATGGTGAATTAAAATATGCTATATGGATCTAGGGTTCTTACACATCCAGCTTCCAATTCTGGTTTATTTAGAAGCATTTAATCATAGCTTGGGTTTTGCTCATCACAGGGTTTAAGTGCTAAATCGGTCTTGTACTCTCTCTCATGTTAAAGGAAGAGCAAATTAGTTGGAAAGGTGCTTTGCAGCAGTGTAGTCCACTTGCTCACATCCTTAGTTTCTTAAGCCAGTTTGTCAGTTACTGCTGATGTTTGGTCACAACCTTTATCCAAGTACTGTTGAAACCATCATAAGCACATCAACATCCAGAAATCCTTTGGTTTGCATTTGTCCTTTAATATTTTAATGAATGTTGTTCATAGACGAGCTAATCTGACTGTTTTTATCTTTCATTTTTATTTACTGATATGTAATTCATGAAACCTTAGAAAAGCAGAATTTTGAACACTCGTTTTTTTAAGATTATCTTTTTTCAATGTCTGTTGTCTTCTATCACAGCTATCTAGAGTAATGCTTCTGAGTTATTTTTAAACATAGAAATAAAAAAGCACTACAACCATTTTTTACTTCCTTTCACAAATCATATCAAATTGCTTCCTCTAAAGGAACACAGCAGTCATAAAGCTAAGAACCCTTAAAAATCAGTTTTATGAGGCTGTTACTTGATTGAATCATGTGTAAACTTCTCAGTTGAATCCCGGTGGATATTCTGAGTGATATTTTAGTATGTTGGCGCAATTTAATATTTTTGCTTTTATTTTTTTAGAAGTAGCTTTTCTGAGGATGTGTTGATGAGTGATTGTACTATATAGCTATTGCACTATAACAAGTTTGGAAATGTTGAGAGCAGCAGGAGGCAGCAGAAGGCTTAAAGCAATAGTCATCAGTCTACTGTATTTTAAAAAACTTTAGAATGCAGCCCCTATGGACTCTTACCTAGGAAGAAGTTCCATCAAATTCAGTGGAACTTCTTTCTAAGTAGACATGTGTAGGATTACACTCTTAATAATCTGATGTGAAATTGAGAACCACATTCAATACAGCATGGTTTAGGCCACAATCAAATGCAGGTTTGGACAGGAAAAAGTACTGTAATTCCCAGCATGTGTCCATATGGTTTCCTACTTGTGTCAAAGGCCATAAATATGTTGAAACCCATCTTTGAGTTACTACTTCTATTCTTTGATTCAAAATGGTTTAAAAAAAAAAAAACCAAAATGCAATTTTTTTTACTTCTGGTTGACACATTAGTTTACCCCTGCATATTTTTTCATGTTTTAATGTGATGAATTCTGTTTTGCATTTTTATGTGTTGAAGGGAAAGGGTAGTTGATTGTTATTTTGCAGCAATAGGAGCCAATAGGCAAGTTAGATACATGCAGAGAGTAGTTGTTCAGAATTTCAAATGAAATACTGACTAGATTGATTTTATGTAGGATCATACTGGATCATTTATCAAAACAACAGTCTGTTAACGTAAAACCAAATGTTGCCAAAGAAAAAGGAAGATGTAATCCATCTGTTGGTGACTATGTTTATGTTCTGGTCTCCACAAATCCAATAATGGTTTCCAAATATGTGACCATATATGCCAGACAGTTAACTATCCACCAAACTGGTAAATACTCTAAGCTGCTTTCATAATAGACTTGCAGTGCATATGAGGATATGAGGGGAGGGCAACTACTGGCCCTTAGGAGGTGGGGTTGGCACTTTCTGAGAGTCCTTCCCCAAGCCCCTTGCCCAAACATAGACAAAAATATCCCTTCTAATCAGAGATAATAAGGGGATGGCCCCACACTCACCAGCTCCTGCAAGATCAGGCTGAGTTTCTTTCCATGCAGAGTGACAGGGCCACACTGATGATGTCATGGGAGAAGGAGGGGTTTTCAGTGGGCCCTCCCCTTTCTGTGTTATTCAACCTACATGGCTTGGTCTTGTGTGTGTGTTTGGGTCAGGGAGGCTTGATTTGGCACTTTGAACAAGAGAGATTGTCCCCTACCATACAATAGTGGAGCAAGAGGCTTAGCAGTAAATATCCTAAAAGCAGCTAAAATCCTGTGGCCAAGTTAGGTGTAGTAGAAGGGAACAGTTGCAAATGTGCCATTTGTAGGTTCAGTTGGATATTTATGTTGCAAATTCCATTTGGAATTATACTGATAATGAATTCTTTAACATGTTCCAAGGCATTGCTTCTTAATGTTCAGTAAAACATTTTCCATGATGTGGAGAAAACATAATTTTAG